ACATTTTAACATCAGGCTCTTTTCAAGTCTCCATCTTCCCAGATATTTCTAGTGTGATACTTTGAAAGGCTATTTTATTTTTCTCTCCAAATCTGTTATCCCTCTTCTGACTTCTACACAACTTTTATTATTTTTATGATTTCATTTAACTTTAGATTTCATAAAAATTTTACATGTCAGTGTAAAATGGGTTTGGTTTAAGAATTATTTTATCAGGAGAATTAATTCTAAAGTATGTGGACTATACGCTTATTTTGCAAAGTAATTCCCCAGATGAATGTTGTTATAGTTTACTTCCTAAAGATTAAAGATACAGTTAATCCATTTTCCTTAGGAAGCATCATAAAGACCATATATCATGGCTGGAGGAAAATCAATATTTTTAAAAGAGATACTATATTTGTTAAAAAGTAAATTGACTTTTTTCTTGACATGATTTCATGCCATTTTAGCTCAATTCTATTCAATGAAATAATTTTTAGGAACTATTGAGCTCCTCTTTGAAGAATCCTTCAGTGATTGCTAATGATTAATCAGCCAGCTTTTAATGGGGTTATTTATCCTTGAATTCATGGGAACATTGAGAATTATGTTTGTTCCAACATATCTGTTATGTAAGTCAGTTTTAGCTTTCTATTGTGGGAATCTCAAAAACCATTTATTGGGTACAAGTTACTTGTGAATTTTCATATTATTTTATGGACACTTGTTTCATGGACAATTATTTTATGATTATATATTAACTCTTTTACTATTTCAAATAACTTTCCCAAATGGTCTCAGTTTCCAATCCTAGGGAAATTGGGCATATGCCCAAACGTCTACTGTTCAGCAAGTTAAAGTTCCTGCAAAATCCTAAGCAAATGAAAAAGAAACAAAAATAAAACTCTTATTTAAAAGAGACAAATTTGGTATAAAATATCAGCGTGCCAAAGCCTACATACCTGACCTTTCACTATATCTATTCTTGGTTGGACATGCCTTCAGCTTTTAATTGGAACCTTTTTCATAATTGTTGTCATTTAATACATTTAGTCTGTCAAATCCTGGGATGTCTTTATAGCCATATAATAAACCCTAGAGAACAACTTCTCTGACTGTAGCCATCTGCAATGATCACAAGAGTAGCTTACAAAATACTGACAGTCTTTATGGTAATAGGATACATATGGCAGCCCACAATTATGTGTAGCTGCATTCAATTAGTGTTGTACAATTACACAGTTTTATTGCTTAGTTAAAACAGTGAAAGCACTACATACTGGGTAATTTGCACTAATCCCCGTCTCTTTAATAGCCCCTCGGTGTTTTAAATGTGGGGGAACATCTATAGCATTTAAAGGACCTGGAATGAACATTAAATTATATCACATGTTGTGAATACTCTTTGATTGACAATTAATGTACTCCCACCTCAAGTGTGGGTCATGTTTTATGGAGGCTTTAAAATACAGTTATAGCCAAAAAAGTTCTTCTTCTAGCCCACTTACTGGACTGGGCTGTCAGTCTGGTCATGTTCTTTCTGCCTGATGGTCAGATGAGGAGACTTGCTGAGGAACAAAGTCAGAATAGACTCAGAGAGCTGTGTGAGCCAAGGACGAGGCACTTTCGATGTAAACTCATTAGAGGCTTTCTGATCTCTAACTTTTAATTAAAAACTTAGTACAAAATGAATTTATAGCTGCCATTTGGGAAAATCCTTCCTGGAGATGGTTTTGAGAGGGTGTGTGTGTGTGCACATGTGTGCATGAGTGTGTTTGAAACAGATGTATTTAGCAATCTGTGATGTTAAGAAAGTTTTAATTATGTTTTTCTTTTTTAAATTATATTTTGTGAAAAGCATAATTACATTTTTCAATGGCCTCAGTCATGTGCCTCTGCCATTGGCTTAGTAAGAAATAAGGGTGAGTGTGTTTCAGGTTGCTGATGGTGAGCCCCAATTGTGAGGCAGACTCCTTATTCCACTTAGGACTCACGTCCTTATTTTCGAGGAGAGGAAGCCCTGGAATATATTCTTCTGTAACTTTCTCAAAAAGTGTTGACAGAGGAAAACCCCAGGCAACCTTGTTTCCTGCCTTGCCTGACAGTAAGTTAAACAGAATCCCAAAATAAAGGTCTGGACATTTATTCACCTGCAAAAACATTTTGCTGAAGTATTTCTAATGCACTTGCGTCTAGAAATGTTTTCAATTACCTGGAATAGGGCCTTGTGTCTAAGCACTTATTATCTCTCATAAACATCATTTAAACTTTGTGTTCTTGAAAATTCTCCTACACCATTTTCAAACAAAATAAGGAACATTTAGAAATGATTAATGGGAGATAGAAAGAATATTAAAAGAATAGATTCTATATATTCTGTTTAAATGGTGTTGGTTTATTTTAGAAGAATTATTACACTGAGGTCATCCCATCTTCTTTATTTAAGATAGCTTTATAATGCTTTTTTCCTAAGTTATTGAAATTTTGAGCTATTATGCTCTGCTATATTAAACAAAATTGGCATCTAGTTACATATTAAAAGAAATTTCTATTAAAATGTAGATGTACAAAAACCACACCTTTGCTACTTCTAAGAGAATTACATGGTCATATTCAGCACTAAAATGTAACTTATACCCAGATCTACCAACATCTGCTTTTATCCAACTCTTGAGTAAAGTTAGGTGATTACAGATAGTATGTTTAGGAAAAAGTCACAAAATTCCTGTATAAATGGAGTTGTGTAGATTGAAATCTGCACAACCTTACAAAACATGCACCGTGAATGTTTGGAACTAACAGAGCATCAAAGCAAGAGATTATTTTGCATTTTAGAAAGGTTTTACTAACAAAATGGAATTAAGGAAGTAAACAATTCTGTTCTGTCTGGAAGATAAACTAGATGCTCTGGTAGATGTTTCCATCTCAGATTTCTTTTCATGAAAAACATTTGCTTGTCATTTGGATGACCAGAATGGCTGGCATGTGAGACTACAATGAAGGGATTTCTTTTGCCTGAAAATGTTTAGGTTGGGGACAACGCTGTGTTTTGCAATTCTGGTGCCTCAAAGTCTCTAACTCAAACTTGCTCCTGCTGACCAGGGCTAGACAGCTGCTTCACTAAAACAGGGAGGGGTGTCCATCGCAGATGACAGTTGGGCAAAGCCACATCTGTGTGGGACATATGGCTATCTTTGCTCTAACAGCCCAAGTGCAGGTGACTCCAGTGCCTGCTTGTGGGATGCCTTGATCATAGGCGAGTTCTTACAGAGAGGCCTCCATGTTCTGACTGTGAAGGAAATGTAGGGCCTCCCTGGTGGCGCAGGCAGTTGAGCGCAGCGCTGTGAAACTGTCCGCAGCCTCTACAGTGCCAGTTCAATCCCGGCCAGCCGGCCAGCAAGAATCCCACATGGCCCAGCAGACCTCTCCTGTCTTGCCCACTGCTCCCCTCAGCAGTGTATTTCTGTCAGTCTGCCTGTTATGTTCCCTGCTCTGTCTCTGGTGAATCCTCTCACCCTCCTGCACATCTGGCCTGTACCCCGGTTCTTGTATAAATAAAGTAAATCTTAAAAAAAAAACTATTAAAAAAAAGAAAATTTAAAAGATGTTTTCTGCCCGTGTTTTCAAGAAGAGACACTGACTCTCCAGAGAGAAGGAGCTGACTGCCTGCCGCTGCCAAAACAGTTAGATCCAAATGGTCGTTGCTGAAACTGCAGCTTAGCTGGCCAAACATCTGCACTTTATGCTGCAAAGAAATGCGAAGCTCCTCTACGTTTACTCAAAAGCAGGCCAACAGGGCGTGTGAACGGTAGCGGCACTCCTGATGTGTGGAGATGTGCCTTGCTGTGCAAGAGGTTCAAACTGCTGTACAAGTGCAGATGATCATAGAGCGATAACAGAAGAACATGCAGGCCTTGACTTGCTCAATGAATTCTTTTCATGTACAAGGAAAATTTCACCATTTCCTTGAGGCATCTCCTGGCGACCACGTTTGCTAGAAAAACTAGCTTTAGACTGTTATTTTCTTTTATCTTATTGATTCCAATGGAAGGCACTGGATTAGAACTCTGAATGTTCTTCAATCTTTTCTTCAAGATAATGTAAGTTTTTTGGAATAGTTTTTAGAGGATATCTATTTGGCTTGATCACAGACTAGAATTAAAGGCATATAAAAACTTGCCTATAGTCACATGCTTCCTTTTCTTGATTTGTTGGGTGAAAGACTGGAGACTTTTACTGCCTTAATAAGGAAACCTGAACAGAATGCTGACGCTGCACCTGATAAATCTTTCCAAATTGCCACAGGTGAAATGAAAAGTTAATATCCCTTTCAATTATTAATAAAAAAAAAGTAAATAGTTCTCATCAGAAATGGGACACTGAAAATAAAGTATTTTAATATACATGTAGTTTTTTATTCAATTACTAAAGAACCAAATTTTGAAAGCTCCTAATATATTAAAATGAAGAGGTAATTGTTTTCATAAATTGGAAATACTGCACCAGAGGTTTTCTATGTCATTATATTCTTTAAATCAATTTAAATTGCAGAAAACATCAAGTGCAATAAGCAAAAGGAAAAGAAAATCTCATAATTCAACTACCCAGATACAGACACACCAGCACTTAGTCTTTCAGACATTTTTCTTTGTCTGAGTTTTTTTTTTTTCTTTAATAGACACTTTATACAAACCATTTTTGAAATCTGCTGTCCTCACTTTCCAAACATAATTCATTTCAGTAAATATAAACCCATGTCACCATTTTAGTGGTCATGGAACATCCCCTTGTATGAATTTACCATAATCTATGGAGTGAATTTCTCTCGTTTGTTCACCATGTTTCCAATTCAGCTGTAATCAAAAAAAGATCCCCTTATGTGTATATCCTTGCATAGTTGCCAGATTTTTTTTTTAACTTGAGATAAATACAGTAAATCTAAACTGCATTGTCCTTCATTTTTTTTCAGCAGAGTTTTTCATCTTTTGGTTTTAAGACATGTTCACTTTTTACTTTAGGTATATGAACACCAAGATGGCAGTAAATCACTGAAGCTGGGGGACTTTGGGCTGGCCACTATCGTCGATGGCCCTCTGTACACAGTCTGCGGCACCCCAACATATGTGGCTCCAGAAATCATTGCAGAGACTGGGTAAATGCTTATCTATTTATTGAAGTGCTGGGTTTACAAAAGAACCAGTCTACTTCAAGAATAGGAGAAGAAGTACTGCTTTTTCCCACCCAGGTAGAATTAGCTATCAGATTTCTTTCACTTTTTTTTTTTAAGTTTATAAAGTGGGAGCCATTTTCTCTGTTTCCCTAATCAAGTTGCCAATTACTGCAATCCTGTTTAAGGTTTCCATTTGGCTTTTGTTAAAGGCAGAACAGTAGTTATTAACCCCAGAGTGAAAAATGTTTGGACTAACAGAAAAAACATAGAGCAATGGTAATTAACTCACTTTTGGAGATAAAGGAAATAGACACTGCTGTGTGCTATGATTACAGTCGCTCATAGTTATTTCTCTCGTCTGCCCTTATTCTCCAAGGCAGGTCCCATTTGGGTTCTTTTAGTGGTCCATTGATTATCTATGGAGTATACACTTCAGTTTCTGGGAATTTCTATGGGCAGCAGTATCAAATGAATGTAAACCTCTATCCTAGAAAGAGGAGAGAAGGCAGAGTGGCCTAATTCTTACTAAGGATTTATCTGATGCCAGGCCCTATGCTCCTTTACTTAATTCTTATTCTTCCAATAGATTGGGTGACTCCCATTTTGCACATGTATCAACTCAGACTCTGATGGGTGAAGTTCCATGTATGTTCTTGGCTTTACTGCAGTAAAAGTCTCTTTCTGCAACGAGCCCCATTCATTGCCAAGGAACATAGGGGGCTCTAAAACACTGTTCTTAAACAGAAGGATAGGGAAGGGTGGGGTAGCAAGAGGAGACTGCCCTCCTTTTTTCTTCCCATTAGCAGAACCAACTCACAGCTAATGGTCTAGGTTGTATCCTCTGATGTGATCAAGCATGATCATTTTTCTGCTTGTACCATAGACAGGAAAGGTAGAAATACAGAACAGTTAAGAATGGACATCCCTAAAGTGATCTGTACGAGAACAAGAGCTTTTTAACTCATCAAATTCAAGTTGAGTTGGAAACCCACATGCAGAGCCATGCATGACCACCCTCAAGGGCACAGTCAATTGCCTGGCTGCTATGAACCCTCAGATGGCTTCCAGGGAGGAAGTGGTGTGTGGGAAAAAGAGAATTGGGTGAGACTTTGGGTGGAACCCTGTTCAACCGCTAACTAATTGTGTTGTCTTGAGCAAAGTTATTTACCCCTCTGAACCTTTTCTTTAAAATAGCCAGTAGTACTCATTCTATAACTTAACAGTGTTAAGATAATGTATGTGGTGCTCTACAAACTGGAAAATACCCTCTATGTAATTATTATCTCTAAAACTAGAAAGTTAGTCTCAAAGGTCCATTCCATTCATACAATTTATATGCTTTTGATAAACTCTTTTGTTGAAACCTTTCACTTACTAATATTTGGATATGAGCCTAAACCTCTATCTCCTTGATTTTATTCATGTGTCTAATGTAGTCTCTTTTTGATTATTCGGTCCTTGAATTGATTAGCTGGTGGGTTTTAGTTTAGCATTTGTTGTTGGGTTGTTTTATTTTGTTTGCTATGTGTTTTGGTTTAGAGTAGATCTATTTTGCCATGCCCCATAATTTGTCCTGGCCTGATTTTGCTAACTCTAACATCACTTACTTTTCCAGATATGGCCTCAAGGTGGACATCTGGGCAGCTGGTGTAATCACTTACATTCTGCTGTGTGGTTTCCCTCCGTTCCGTGGGTATGGGCAGCAATCTTTTCGTCAGCACCAACAAAACATTCCTCTCTTCTCTGAGTGATCCCTTTGGCCTTTTTGCACAGAGGAGCCTGCAGCAGGGAAAGAATATAATAAGAACTTTACTTGCAATGCCTGTTATTTTTTCCATGTTGTGCATGCTAATTTACATACCTTCCATAAATCTTCCCTCATATAATTTAAAAGCTCATTCTTTCTTAATTTAAAAGAACAGTTCCATATTGACATTCTGCAATGCTTAAGAACAAATATTTTACACATTTATGGGAAAAGAAAGGGTTCCGATGCATCAGCATGAAGAGACATACTCTGAGTTGACGCTTTGGTGCTGTTTTTTCTTTGTTGTTGTTTGTTCGTGTAAACAGAAGTGGTGATGACCAGGAGGTGCTTTTTGATCAAATTCTGATGGGACAAGTGGACTTTCCTTCTCCATACTGGGATAATGTTTCTGATTCTGCAAAGGTAGGTGTCCAGTTCTTCCTTACAACCTGTGTGTCAGTGGGATTAGTGATTTTGAATCATTGTTTGCAGAAACAAATGATATAAATGTAATTTCTGTGCACATTTTTGTTGTAATTACTAGGGTTCCCAAGACTTCACAATCATCAAATCATCTCTTCATAGCCATCCCAATTTATTGTCTCTGCTTCCCTAGCTTGTCACTTTTGTCACATTGCTGTAGTTGTGCCCTGCCCCACCAGGCTTGAGCCCTCTTCAGATATCTGCATGGCTTATTGCTTCACTTCTTTTGGATCTTGACTTAATGTCACCTTCTTAGAGAAACTTTCCCATCCTGTTTCCAATCATAGCTTTTACACCTACCTGTTTACTTACTTCTCTCCATACATAACTACATTTATTTGTTTCATTTATTCTCTGACTCTCCTTCCTAGAATGAAAATTCCATTGAGTCAAGGATTTTTTGTCAATTTTGTTTATTTCAATGTGATCAGTGCCTAAATAGTGACCAGTAAGTACATAGCTGGTGTTCAACATATATTTAATTAATGAATAAATAAATAAGTGCATGAATTAAACAGCCAAGGTAGAGGAAGCTCAGCATGAGTTGAAATGATCAAGAAAGACATCATGAAGAAGCTATGATTTCATGTGGCCCTTAAAAGACAGCTGGGATTTATAACAGAGAGGGACAAGGAATATGATTTTTGTTCCATTCATCTAAAAAATAAACTTTTAATAAAATTATAAAAATGTCACAGTAAGACAGAATTAGACCATAAGATATAGAGAAAACCTTTTAAATGATCCCTGAAATTCCTGTTTCCAAGCATTGGCTTTAATTTTGAAAAATCCATATGGAGAAATAATTATCTTTAGACTATACAATGTATATATGCCTTTCCTTCTGTGATATCCTGAGAATGAGTTAAATTTAAAACCTGACTCCTTAGGCATGGCCACCTTCCACAGAAAATGATGCATATTGGGCCCAAGTCTCTCATTTCCTAGAACTGTCTAAAAATGTGTCTCTAGACTTAGGAAAATAGGGGGAATTGAGAGAAGTCACAGAGAAAGGGCACAACAGTGAAAAGATATGAGCCACAACGACTCCAGAGATGGAAATGGAAGCATTATCTCCCATGAACAGACTGCTCGGGAACCTGTCCAGCTCTCAAAGTGGTCACTCCATAATGTGTGGGTTCAAAGTCACTGATAGACAACCATCTCCTACACAATCATGGGAACCACCAAAGTGTATCACATACAGTAGTTGTTTTAATAAGTCCTGATCCATGTTTAAAAGTATAGGTAGAATCTCTCTATCAATGGAAATAAATTTATCCCCGTCATGGAGTGATACTCAAAGCTGTAAATATAAGGAATCGAATAGTACGGATCTAACCATTTTATTACAAGGGGACATCTAATCCCAAAATGGACAAATGTATGACAAATTCATCATTAAAACCCAAGCTGTGCTTTCCTTATCCAATTAATTAAAACTTATCAGGAAGTTTCACTAATTTAAGAAATATTAGTTAATTTACCTTTTAAACGTTCTATTTTGTTTGTGTTGATTGATCTGGTAATTTTGGAAACAGCTACAATAAATTCGTTTAGAATTCTTTGGCTACTAAAGGATATTTTCTATTTTACCAACTAGCTACCAGTAATTCTGTCAGTTTTCCTCACTCCTCTCTTTCAAACTTAAATGTGCCATGTTTCAATTAGAGGAAAAATCCATTTTCCTTTCAGATGTCAAAGTGAAAGTGTAAGTTTTAAAAATGTGATTTTTATATTAAAGTAACTTTTAAATCTGTCTTTGAAGAGCAAATTCTGAAGGCATATTAAATCTTTCACTTGTATTTTTTTATTGAAAACATTTATGAAATTGATTTTAATATGAATTTCATTCAATTTTTCCATCAAATACAAGGTATACATTTATAATTCCAAATTCTACCCTTACTTAAACTTTGAAGATGTCATTTAGGTAGTTTGAGTAATTTGAGTTGATATATTTAAGATTTAAAGCTTTTACAAATGCTTTTCCAAACCAAAAGAGAACTTATGCAGTTGAGAACACTTAAATGTTTACCTTAACAGTAAGACAAATGGAACTGCTGTTTCCCTTCACAGGAGCTCATTACCATGATGCTGTTGGTCAATGTTGATCAGCGATTTTCAGCCATACAGGTCCTTGAGCATCCCTGGGTTAATGTAAGTGACTCCTTCTCGTCCTTATGTTCAATTCTCACTTGCCTTTTTGAGAGTACAGATTTCCTAATGGTGTCACTTTCCCTTTAAAGTTTGTGTTTGCATTAGTTCCATCCCCTCCAGTGTGCCAGAACAGCTCTGGAATCTCCCTTGGGCCATGAGAGCATCTGATGTGTTAGTGTTGATGTGCATTCCCACAATCCCTTGCACAACACGTATAGTTTGGTTCAGATAACACAGTCTTCTATTGTCAAGCTGTGTTTGGTTACTACCCATCACCCCACAACCTACTCTTGGTGGACCAGATTAGATTAGGGCTAAATAACCATCAATAAGCAAGAGCATCTTTTCTGAGTCAGTACTGCATGTGCATCATTTCTACCCAAAATACAAATGACCTTTGGAGTACTGAAAAAGCCTTGGAGTACTGCAGTATAGCACTTCTCAAACTTACACATGCTCACAAGTCACCCAGGAATCTCATTAAAATGCAGACTCAAATGGAATAGTTCTGAATTTCTAAAAGCTCCCAGATGTTACTTCTGCTGCTACTATTTCAGTACAAGGGTCTAGTCATATTTCTTTCAATGTGAAAGAATTTTTTAAAGCAGAGGGGTTTTTTGCATAAAAGAACTGGGATTGTAGGCCAGAGGGATGAGGGTTGAGAGCATTCACCAGAGACAGAGTGAGGATCAGAACAGGCAGACTTACTGAAATACACTGCTAAGGGGAGCAGCATGCTAGACAGGAGAGGTCTTCTGGGCCATATGTGGGTCATCTCCCTGGCCAGGGATCAAACTCAGGCTGAACAGCAATGACAACACTGAGACTTAACCCCTAGGCCACCAGAGTCATTATTTTTTTTTTAAAGATAGATTTATTTATTTATTTATTTATTTATTTGTACATACATACATACAAGTACTGGGTACAGTCAGAAGTGCGAGAGGGCGAGAGAATTCACCAGAGCCAGAGCGGGGAGCAGAGCAGGCAGAAGGACCGAAGTACACTGCTGAGGGAAGCAGCGGGCGGCAGGAGAGGTCTGCGTGCCATGTGGGACCCTCCTCTGGTGGCCGGGGAGCAGCCGGGGATAGAACCGGCGCTGCAGAGGCTGCGGGCAGCTTCGCAACCCTGCGCTCAACCGCTGCGCCACCGGGGAGGCCCTGGAGTCATTATTTTTTTAACCTTATATTTTTCTACAACTGATTAATGAGCTTTGTCTTTAGTAATAATAATTAATCTTTGTAAAGTGATTAACTTGCAGAGTTTGCCCAGGACTATTTTAAGCATCTAACATACATAACCGATTGTGTTTTCCCCATAACCTTACAATGTCAGTACTGTCGGTATCCCCAGTGACAGATGCCAACTCGGCATACCTTGTTTTAATGGTTCTTACTACCAGAATAGAAAATAGATATAGATTTGGGTAAAGATATGAACAGGGGCATAGATATGGACAAACAAAATGTTAACTCACTGATAAAAATTATGCCATCCTCTCTACTGCTTTGAGTGATCTGGCAGAAAGTTGAAGACAACAAATTGTTCCACTTCTCTGCGTGTTTAGTTGTGGATTTTTTTCAGAACTAATTACTGAGAATAAGCTATATTAAAATCACCTTGTTGACATAGACTACATGTGAGGTGACAAGAGCATGGAATCTAGTTCATGTTCTGCCACTCAGTGGCCATTGCTTCCAGTTCCCCAACATTACACATCTGAGCTTGATGCCTCGCACCTCCTGTGTGGTTATAGTATATGATAGGAGAATACACACACATACAGACATACATATTTTGGGTTGTTGGAAAAGTCATGACATTCTTTTCTTTTTAAAAAAATAAATTATTTATTTATTCATACAAGAGCTGGAGTACAGGCCAGAGATGCAGGGGGTGAGAGGATTCACCAGAGACAGAGTGGGGAACAGAACAGGCAGACTGAGTGAAATACACTGTTGAGGGGAGCAGCGGGCAAGACAGGAGAGGTCTGCTCGCCATGTGGGTTGCTCCCTGGCTGGGGATCGAACTTGCGCTGCAGAGGCTGAGGATTGCTTCACAGTGTGGTGCTTAACCCTTTGTGCCACCAGGGAGGCCCCCATGACATTCTTTTCTAAGTTTTCTCCGCAAAAATACCAAACGACTTTTCTTATAACCCAGTATATATATATAAATAACCATATTATATGTTTATACACACATATAATATACATACACACATATATAATATATATTATATCTATTATACACATACACACACATTTGTGAATATGTACAGACATGCGGCTCAGGTTTGTTTTAAATGTTTGCTACCAGAGCTTCCCAACTGGTGTACAAATGAAGATATTAATCCTATCAAGCCCCAAGGATAACCAAGTAGGGCAGCCAGAGCCCAAGAGTGGTCAGTGGCAACCTCAGCCACCTTTGCATTTACTCCAGGGTGCTAAACAAAAATGATCTTCCATGAACTGGGAAAGTTTAAGAAGCATCTCATGTATGCCCAGAGTAACTTACCCAAAGACACCAAGTTTGTGATGGAGGCAGAATTTGCAGCCAGGTATCTCCAACTCTAAGCCAATGTAGTATAAAGTCCTGGGGTCACACTGCTTCTACCTTCCTTTGTTATGCAAGAAGTCATATGAATATTGTAGAAGAGTGAATATGTACATTGTCATTATTATAATGGTTGTTCATATAAGTTAGCAACCTTTCCACAGTAACTGACCCAGGTCATAGTGTCTTTCCCTTAGAAGTGCGGGGTGGAAGAGACACAAGCCAGCCGCAGACTCTCTTGGTGGTAGCATTTGGTTCTCATTGATGCTAATTAAAAGCCCATGGTCCACAAATTGTCAAATTGCACATTGTCCCTGGAAAGACTGACAGTGTGACCACAGAGAATAAACCAGAAAATCTGAATTTGAAACAGGGCCTTTGAAGTTTCAAAAAGAACATGGAAGAAAGGAATTAATAGAACATTGCAAATAGTCATTTTAGATTTTCAAATACATTGTCACCAGGAGGACCACTACCTGCCAGGTCTGCTCTGCAGTACTTTTGTCGCATACAACCAGTCCCACAAAATGGGAGAACAGCTACCCCAGCCGGCTTCCATGCAAAGAGGTCATGGGAAGGAAGGGCCATGGAAGATTCCTGTAGGGGATGTCAGAATCCCATGCTAGAGGAAGCTGGGAGGGAGATCTCCAGGAAGCTATGAATATTTTCTATATTTCTCACAAATATGTCTAGAATCATGAGTGCGAACAAATATCTATACATATGAGGGGCTCTTGGAAATAGCAGAATCCTTTATCCTGAATCAAAACCGATAGCCTTATATCAATGATATCCCACTTAGTGGGGTAAAGAAACAAAATTAAGAAGACTCTGGCTGTTACCTTTGAAAAACTTAGTGGTTCTTGCTTCTAGGGCAGCATCTACATGTCTCAGTGATCGCTCTTTCCCTTCTTAATCTATTTTGTACACATTTTTACATGTGGCCCATCTTCTATCATAATTCTATTCCACAGCCCCTTTGGAATGCAGATATGACTGTCATTTTAGTTTTCCCTCTCAGATTCTCTCAACACACTTTCTAAAAGCAAAGATAACATTTCAGGAATTACCTAGAGCTATAAAACCAAAAACTGCCCTTTATATAATTTGAACAGACCTTAGATTTTAAGGGGAAAAATATATATTAATTTTAGCAAATACATTTTTTAAATCACTTTAATGCATAAAGTGATTGCTTAACTTCTGTAATTACATTTATATAGTATTAACTAAATCAGAAAAATGTTTATTTTCTTTGTCTCAAAATAACAAATGAAAAAATACACATGTAAACTTTCAGCATTGAATGTTGAGGTCTGTGAGTATAACTAATGCATAACCAAGCAATCAAAAATAAATAAATTAAGAATTTGAAAGGAAGGCCATTTAACAAGACATTTCACTTTTGTAAATAATATCTGATCAGCACAAAGGACACTACCTAAGTGGGGGGAGGATCATAATAATCATGAGGGCACTGAGGCATCATCAGAGAGCTCTTCTGTGACTTCATTTGTTTTCATTTCTTCACTGCTTGTTCGATGACCTTTTCGAACTAAGGATTAAGAAGACATTCTCTTCGGAAACTGAGGAGAACATGAGGCAATAAAATCAAATAATATTGTGAGCAAAAATCACTTATGATAACCTTATTCCAGGAGCTTCCTTTGGGTTCACATTTTTTTTTTCCTTCTCTCTGGCTGAAAATCCCACCATACTTCTTGGTGTCCTGGTTTTCTGCTCTGTTATCAGAAGAGTTTTGAGCTCAGTCTCTCAGTGGATGGTTCCCACAAGCCAGAGGGATAAAGGCAGCATCACGGTGTGACCTGGGGTGGTCATTTTACTCCTTTGAATCTATTTATGAAATGGAGATAGTAATATCAGCCTCTTAGTTTGCTATGATGATGAAGAGAGGATTATATATTTGATGATCCCGAGAAGACAGTCTTCAGTGCTAATACCTCCTAGGTACATAAATAAATGGTGAGTTTGAGTCTGAGGCAACCACTCTCATCTATGTGCTGATGAAAGGCAAACTATGTTTGAAGTTGACATATGAGAAGCTTGATTAAAGAGGAAGACCCCCTCATCTAAAAAACAATCCTGTGTGTGTAATTCAAGCTTCATCTCAATAAATCATGCATTTTCAGCTTTATAATATCACAGCCATTTGCTTTAATATAGCTACAAAATACCAGCAGGAATTGTCCTAAGTTTATTTACCTTATTACTCATCTAATGGAGAACAATGAGATTTAGGCACATATTATATGAGACTAAGACTGGCAATAAAGATCTCGATCATTCCAGAGAGTCGGGACAAGATTTAACCACTTTCTCCCAAATGACACTTTTACTGATAGCAAATGTACATTAGTGATATGGTCATTTTCCCAACTGAGATTTCAAAAAAATTTTCTTATTTCCACCATGAGATATATATATAT